TTTTTAAGCCTGGCTTAGAAAGATCTTTTTATTTCTAAAGAAATTCTATTTCGTTTTATATATTTCTTTACTAATCTGTATTTATAAATTAGGCTCCTATATTTCGCTAGTTTCTAGGCTAGGCCCTCTTTTTTTAGTTTCGGTTTTCTAGGCCGGGCTTAGGGAATTAGATAGACTTTTTCTTAACCTGTTTTTTTATCTATACTAATATTATAAGAATTGAGTTTTTAGGGAAATTACTAAGGATTTCTGGTTTTAATAATTATAATATTCTTAATTACTAGTATTTATTTCTTTTTTTACTAGAGAAGTTTTACTTTTATTTTAAGAATATATTTACTTATTTATTATTTTTCTCTAGAATATATAAGATTTTAAAATTATATTATAAAAGAATTAGGAATTATTTTATTTATTATTCAGTAAATTTCTGTATTATTATAAAATACTTCGGGTTTTTATAGTCTATTTGGATCTCGAACTAGTAAATACTTCTTAGTTCTATATTTTATTTCTTTAAATAATAAATAATTATAAGTATTTCCTTATTATAGATCTTATAATTATATTTTATAAGGTTATTTTTTTTCGAGAAAAAGATATAGAATTATAGAATACTCTTTCTATTAACTTATATAAGAATACTATTTATATTTTATTTAGAGAAATCTATTTCAAGAATTATCTTCCGGTTATAATTAAACTATACTAGTATTAGGGCCAAAATAAATATCTTTTTAAGCTTTTAGAAAATAGCCTCTATTTTATTAATTTATAAGAATACTCGGTTCTTATATATAAGGTCAGATAATAATTAAATAATTCCTGAAAATTCCTGAATAAAATATTAGTAGAAATTAGTAAATCCTAAAAAAACTCTATATATCTTTTATTAATTTTGGGACTTTCTAACTTAGAATAACTTCTATCTTTACTAGATTTATATAAATGCCTTTTTCGGCCTCTATAATAAATCCTAAGTATTTTATTAATTTAACCTCAAATTCGTATTTATTAATATCTAGCTATAGACCTGTTTCTTAAAATTATTAGAAAACCTTTTATATATATTTATAATACTTTTCTTTTAATTCTAATAAATAAACCAGAATATTATTTATATAAGTAAAATAGAACTTGTTTAAGAAATTCCTAAGAATCTAATTAATATATTTCTGGAATATATTCGGGGTATTTACTAGGCTAAAGGAAATTATTAATTATTTATAGAATTTATATCTTATATAAAAGGCCGTTTTCTATTTGTTTTTTTAATAATACGAATCTTATAAAAAGCCGCTATAATATTAAGCTTTATAAACTGTTTTACTTTCCCGATATTTTAAAGAGTCTTATAGATTAATAAAAGCAGGTACTAGTTCTTTTTTATAAGCTTATTTAGGCCCTAGTAATTTATATAAAACTATAATTCCCTATTAGGTTTCTATATAAAAAATAATAAAAATAATAGTAGGAAAATAGCTTATTTAAATAAATTCTTTCTCTAGTAATTCTATAAATATCTTTTATAATATCAAGAGCTTATCTTAAAATATATTATATAATAGGCCCTATAATATAACGGGTTCTTTTCTATTAACTTTTTCTCATTTGATTTAATAATTAATTCTTTAGCCTCGAGTAAATAGTAACTTTTTTACCTTAATTAAATAGAATATTTTTTAAAAGCTCTTATATTATTCCGGGAGCTTTATATAAGAATTAGTTTTCTTTTTCCGAATTAGAGCTTTTTAAATATTTATTAGGCTAGCTAAGAAAACTTCTATATTTTTATTTTTATTTTTCTTTATTAAATAAAAGAATAAAACTACCGAAACCTATATATAATCTATTATTTACGGACTAAGAGCTAGTAACTTATTTATTCTATTTTATACTAAAGTTTCTAATAATAAAATAAATAGTTCTAATCTCAAATTATAGATTTATATATCCTATAAATAAAGTTATTATATATCTAAAATTATATCTAAGCTAAAAATCTTAGGAATTATATAAAGAAAGATATAAGATTTATAAAAGCTACTAATATTTATATTAAATATTACTATTTCTCTAATTATATCTAATACTATTTTATTAAAAGCCTTTATTTATTTGGAAATAATTAGTATATACTAGAGATTATATTAACTAATAAAGTAAGAATTAATTATTTTATATAATATATATTTAATATTAATAAAAGTTTATATAAAATACTTTTTATTAATTATTATTAATATAAGAAAAGGAAGTCTAATTATATTTTTTCGAAATTACTTCTAAGCTTACTAATTTTATTTTATTTCTATATATTTTTAATAGTAACTTTTATTAGAAGCTAGTTTTTTCCTAAATTAAATAAATTTAAGTTTTCTTTATTCTTATTTCTATTCTTATCTAAAGTATTATTATTCTTTTCCCAAACTATCTTTACTTTCCTTAGAACTATTCTTAATAATTTTATACTTTTTGCCTTTACTTTTAATTATTCTTTCTCTTTTTCTTTTCTTTATTTACTAGCTCAGGGAAAGAAGCTCGGATATAGCTTTATCTAATAATTATATATAAAATAATTATTTTAGCTATATTAAAAATAAAGTCTTTTTCTTTTTTATTAATTAATTTCGTCTAGAGAGACCTAATTAGAAATATTCTTTAATTATTATCTTATATTATTTATAATAGGCTCCTATTTTATTAGCTAAATAAATAAAGCGGTTCTAGGTAAAAAAGAACTCTTAGGCCTTTTATTTAACTAATTCGAATAGCAGGCTCTTATATTCTTAATTTTGGCTAGCTAGTTATTAATTATTTATAACTAAGAATAATATTTCTTATATAATTCTTTTTCCTTTATTTCTATTATTTCTTTTATAAGTTTAGTTATAATAGTAGCTTTAAGATACTTTTTCTTAATCTTATTTTACTATTTCTATTTTTCTATTTCTAGAATTAAATAATTAAAATTATCTAAGAATTCGCCTAAAGAAATCGACTTTTACTAAATTTAGTTTAATTTCTCTAGGGCCTTTTATTATTTCTATAGGTTATAAAAGACCAGATCTATCTATTTAAATAGTTCTTTAATTATAAACTTCTCTTTTTTCTAGATATATTATAGCTATAAATATATTTGGCTTATTACTTCTCTAAATAAATATCTAAACCCGTATTAAACTCTTTTTTCTTTTTACTAATTACCTCTCTATTAATCTCTAGCTTTACCTATAAGAGTTCTTTAAACTAGAAATATAGGACTAAGTTATTCCTATTAAACTTATTAGAGTTCGAGAGATAGGCTTTTAGTTATTTTATAAAAGAAGGCTAAGGAAATATATAGAATAAAAAAAGTATTTATATTTATAAGAAATTATAACGGCAGGAATAGAGCAATGGAACGAGGCTCAAAGATCAATGATTTCCTATGTCTTGAGAATTTAAAGCTGAGGAGGAGGAGTGAGGTGTGGCGGTGGATAAGTAGGTATGGCCAAGACTACTGAAACGCCGAGCTTTGGAAGCGAGCTTGGTTTGAACCATAGCTTGGAACCTTAGCTGAAACCAACCCCTTTGGCTGAAACCAACCATGTGACACCAGCCGTTACAGAAATTCGGGATTATTATATATTTATTAATTAAATCGATTTATATAACTAGATTGACTATTAAGTTTACTTATTATATAGCTAGCTCTAATAGCTATTAGAACTATATTATAAAAGCTTTCTATAGCTATTAGAGGGCTTTATTTATTATCTTGGCTTTATATAGCTATTTATTTATCTAACTAATTATTAAGAATCTTGCTTCTAAATCTTTATATAATAGAGGAATCCGGTAGTTTTCTTTTTTTAAGCCGGGCTTAGGAAAATCTAAATAATTCCTGGTATTAACTAGTTAAGTTAGTATTCTGGCTTCTATATATGGTTTCGAATACTTTCTACTACTAGCTTTTATATACTTTAAAGTCTTGCTAAGATATTAGCTTTATAGGTAGTTTTAAATAGAGTCTACTTCTAGCTTTATTTGTTCTAAACTTCGTTTTCTATATATAGGTTCAGGTATTTCTTATTTCTAGCTTTATATATATATATAATCTCTAGTTAGTAAAGATAAAAGAAAGAGAATTCTAATATTATAGGCCAGACCTTTATATAAAGAAGACTAGTAATTTAATTAACTAAATAGAATTCTTTAAGAAGAAAAGAAAGAGAAAAACAGGGAGAAATAGAACTATATTCCTTAAAATATCCGAGCTCCCTAAATAATATATAGTTACTCTATTAATTCAAGGAGGCATATTATATAATAAAGGCTCCGGCCTTTATTATATGACTTAATAAAGGCTTCTAGCCAAATATATAAATCGGGTTTTAATTTGTTATAATAATTATAATATATCTCAAGCTAGATCCGGCTCCTCGGATATTAGTATGGCCGATTCTAACGAAGACAACTTAGATATATATATTACTAATAAGTCTTCTAATATAGAAGACGAATTAATAACTTATTTAGAAAAAAAGAGAGAAGATAGAAAAGTAAATAAACTTTACTTAAATTCTATTAAATAATTATCTAATATTCTCTTAATATTTTTTTACATATTAGTACTAATATATATATAGGTTAAGCCTTTAGATTATTAGAAGTCTAATACTACTAGATTTCCTACTTTAGCTTTAATAGCTAGGAAATATTTAGGAATTCTAGCTTTTTCGATTCCTAGCAAGAGATTCTTCTCTCAAAGCGCTCTTATTATAACTAAATTACGAAATAGACTTAATAAGAGTACTTTTAAGAAAATAGCTTGCTTAAAAAATTAGGGATTATTTAAAGACGAATTAGAAGAGGCCAAAAAAGAAGAGAAAAAGGGGGGAAAAAGGAAAAAAAACAAGATTCTGAAAAGGATAATTAGTTTATTATTATAGAAAATTAGTATTTAAGTAGCCTTATATAAGTACTAGCTTAGCTTATATAAGGCTGCTTAATAGGTACCTTAGTTCTTTTTTAAAAAATTAAATATATATCGATTTACTAAAATCACGTGATTTCCACGTGACTATTCATGAATATTCATGAATATATATTCTACTCTACTCAAATTTTTTGAGTTTTACGCTACTCATATTCTATTCAAGACTACTCATGAATATTCATGAGTAGTATGAATACCTTGAGTATTTCTTGCTCACACTAGGAGTATCTTACCTTAAGGCTCACATCTCTCACTAACCCAGTATCACCTCAATGCTCTCTGGATCCTGCCGACACCAAGCACTCTTCAAGACCCGACCAAGACCTTCCCTATAGCAGATACCCTCATGACGTGAAATACACAAGACGTTGACAAACTCGTAAAACTCTGAATCTCGTGGACGTTCCTTGAACTTCCATTCCTCCAGAAATCCCGCCTCGTATGCAGAGTTCGAGGCGGTCCCTTCAGAAATCTCAATGAATTCCCTTATGTGCCATGTTTCCTCACCCGGAATTTGCTTCGGGAGCTCGACTAGTTTGTCCTGGCTTCCCAGTGGTTCGAGCTGTTTCTTTTCCACGTGCAACCGTACGACTCCAACCCATTTGCTATCTTCATCCAGTACAGATGTAACAATCCGACCATGCTGTAGCTCTGCCATCCGAAAATATGCCCTTTTGGTTTTACAGATCAGTAAATGACCGTAATCTTCTGATGTAGAGAGGACGGGGGCGGTACCCGAAGCCAGCGGTATTGGAAATCGAAATCGAGTTCCGACGTGTGAAGAGTGTACATAATCTACCTCGCCGGGTCCTTCAAACGGCAGTGAATACCGGGACCATCCATTAGGAACCTCACCCGATCTCTTAATGCGGGTATTCTTGATGTAGTCGTAGCCGCATTTCCAACTCAAAGGGTCAACTTCAGTCTGCCATCCAACCCAAGACCAACTCGGAAAGGCAACACTGTGTAGTTTCGATGTTGGATTCTGCTCTCCAGGCGCTGTTGACCTCCGTCTCCGAGAGGGTCCTAATGGCCTCCATAGCAGTGCAACGTCGAAGAAGAGTTCTGGCATCCCGAACAGAAAACCACCTGGAAAAGAAGGGCTTAGAGTCGTCGTAATTCCAGCGAACGCGGGGAGGATGTCGTAATCGAAGGTGAGATCGCGGTTGTTGTATGCTGCCACAAGTTGAAGGTACATGTGAAGATTGGGCCAGGATAGAGGCTGCATGTATGAGTCTCTGAAAATATCCGCTTTTTCCCTCGAGCACTTTGAGGCCCACCCATTGACCTCGTCCGGTGTCGAGTCCTCGCTCCAGGTGCGGCAATGACATTCCCAGAACGCACCGTCGCTGGTGAGGAAGAGCGTCCGGCGCGAAAATACAATCTCCTGGAGGGTCCAGCCTCTGGAATACCATTTAGTCCGCGTCAATATGGGCACCCGAGTAAGCTGATGAGCTGTCAATGACATGCTCGTCGACTGACGCTCTAAAGGCGGTGTGATCTTATGAAAGCCTCGCAAGCCGTGATTAGCATCCTCTCCGATGGCAACCACGAGGGTCATGTGGGCATTGGAATAGATGGACGCCATGCTGTTGATATTTCTCGCTTTGCTGTTGTCATCATCATCCTGAATGATGCAGAGTCGGTCGACCCATAAATATCGCTCTCCAATAATAGGGAGTATCGCAATGACATTTCGGATCGTCGTGGAAATTGCATTGTCCATCAAAGCTCCGCTATTTTGGAAGTTGAGGAGATTTTCCCTCAATACTACGCCAGAAGACGTCGGTCCCCACACATAACTTAGAGCAACATAGGGCATTTCCACCGTTGCCCCCACGATGCAGGCGGCTTCGCAGTCGATTAGCCATGAGGGTAAGGTCTGGTCTCGTCGAGAGGACTGGCAGTGAGTTCCATGTCTGCTGTCACACGCTGCAACCCAAGCACGGATTTGGGAAGGATATATCCACTCGGGGTGTTTCTGAGGGTCCAAAAGTGGAGAGCCAGCTGTTGAGTCATACATTAAAATTCCACTATCTAGGTTGAAATAGTCGATATACTTAAACTTCAGCGGGGCTCGATGATGTCGCTTGGATGGATCATAGAAATCATCGGGCCACTTGCACTTCGGGTCGAATAGGTCCTTCGCAGCAAATAAGCTAGCTACGGACTGATGAAGCAACTGGGTCTCATCCGATGGACCAGGAATCGCATCTTCGGATGTGTTTGTCACCATGCTAAGTTTCCTTTTGCGTGGGTTCGTGGCCATGCCGGATCCTGGGCTCAATCGCCTGTAACTTAGTTCGGAAATCGGAACTGAGGTGATTATCGCCGTTCTACCTTTCCGAGGCTGGGTCAGGTAGGTATCATTAGGCAGCAACGTATGATAAATTTAGGCTTGGCCCCAGCTGTTTAGCCGAAAAAATAGACTTTCACGTGAGGTCGACGCCGAATGGAAGCTAGCTTCGCAATTATGTAAGACAAAATACATTTTACGGAGATTAATTGTAAATACAGAATAGTTAATCAAGGATCCTTGATCGCCTGATTAGGTGGTACCAATCTATATGGCGATGTAGCATAATACAGCGCGCCCAGGTCGCCACAAGGCTAACAATGATTTTTTAGTATTATGGTAAGGCTCAGAAACATAGATCAAACAATTCTATAAATTGAACGGCGCTAAGGGCTTTTGGTAGTGCTACAAATCGAGGGGTCCTATTATACTTTGAATTAACGCCCGCTATAATCAGGCGCAACGGCGACGATATAACGGCTGGCGTAACGGCATAATCTGCCAGGAATAGGATATCGGAAATAGGTACAAAACGATGCTAAGCCGGAATACTTGGGTGAGATAATACTAAAAGGTCGAGGCATTCCTCCCTTCTTTATTCCCTAGCTTAGTATTTTCAATATATGAGATTCTTTAAACTTTGAGCCTTTGTATTGGAAAGTGATCGATTTATTAATGGAAAATCGATATATTGGAGTTTGACAATCTGTAGAATGACTAGATACAGGAGAGTAAAGTGTAAAAAAGGAGAGGAGAGAATCTAAAGTACAGTTCTTATATACCCACTAGTAAGTGGCGATTTCCTCTAGTATATTATAAATCAGATAACTCATATATATTAGTGAGCGTTCCCTGAGCTTCCATAGTGAGCTATTCCATAGGCTTCCATAGTAAACCATTATAAATGAGAGTGGCGAAGCTAATATTAGTAGTTGAACCTGGTACTGGAAGGACTAGTAAGCTAGTACCAATTCAACACTTTGACTATTGCATTGATCCCGCCGTCACAGACGACGTGATTGTAATTTTCAAAGTAGCTAGGGTTTGGACTATTTAGGAGTAGTTACATAACTTGACTAATACAAAAATTTAGGAATTTTTAATAGATTTACAAACTTAGAATCAAATGAATTCAAAGTACTCCTAGTTTGTCTCTTTACGGGGTGCGTCTCTCCACGCAGGGACGCACGTTATCTCCTTCGGCTCATTACACCATTTCTCCCAACCCTCGAGAGGAGATTTCCGACAAACGTCTTTCAGATCTTCACAAGAGTAGTTCCTCTTAGGATCATAGTTGATGCTTTCTAGAGTCTCATATATGAGTCTGATGAGACTCATGAGAGGCACGGCTTTCGTGGAGTTTATCCTAAATTCAAGTACATTTTCTGTGACAAGCTCGAGTTCGGCAGTGCGATTTAGCTTTAGTTAAATGAAGCAAAAGGTACTCTCAATTCGGTACCTTGGATGGGAGAGCAGAACTTGCGCAGGGAGGCATGCAGAGTATCACCTGACAGAGGAGCGAAGTTGTAGAGAACAATCAAGTTAAAACGTGGGAATTCTCTGATGGTGTATGCGGGATTTGCATTGATCCTTCTAAAGTGTTGATGGCTTCGCTGATCCCGCCCTTCAGACAAGGGCTCCGCGTCTTTCGATCGTCAGATGGTGGCCAACCTATTCAAACGACAGTTGCAGGAAGTGCTCGACTCCCTGCCCAAAATTATATGGATATTGGTAATGTGCTCAACCTTTCCTTGATATTCTCCTTTAGTGGAGCGTCAACTAGGATTGTGCGTCCTCTGCGCCTCTAATATACTGTTACCTCTTCTCGAATGACATGACTTCCTGAGCGAAGGCAGGACGTTTTGCTGATATCGGCAAAATGGCACTTGATCAAGCTTTAACGGCAATTATCTTTAGAAAAAGGACGCATTTTTTGGTCTATCAAGTTCGATGAATGTGTGGGGAACGACCCATCTGTAAGTCCCTCTCTAATGACGTTTCTACCCAAAATCATGCAGTTGATGGTGGGGGTGGTAAAATCGAGACTGCTTGTCCTCCACATTTCATGTTTGGCTGTATTTATGAAAATTATGCTCTGAATTCATGGCAAGTGAAGATTCGGCGCAAGAATGATCTTTGCTTGAGAATACAGCTGTCAACTTTGACTTTCGCAAGGACTAGAGTCACGAACCTCGACTTGCTCGATCCCAGCTCAGAAAGTAAATTCTCGCACAGCCCCCAAAAGTAAGTTCATAAAGTTAAGCATTTTCAGACGAACTGCTCTCCAAATTTCGGGCTGGCCGGCTCGGAAGACTTGTCTTGTTGTCAGGTAGTCCTCAAACTCGCTACGGTCCAGACCTTACCCCTGATGTCGCAGAGTGCTAAGCGAGCCCGGCCACCAACCACATCCGAGTACGCCTTCCCTTTCTGTCGCCACACAGACCCAGGACTAGGTTTCAGGCCTTCTCACCTCAGCCTCCTCTCAGCCATTTCCTCGCAGGACGACCAATCTGATATGGAGGAGATAAGATCTGACCGGGAATCGTCCCAACAACCGTTCCAAGCGTCCAAAGTGGGCATTCCGCCCATGATCCGGCTGCCCTGGGTGGCGCTGGCCACGTGTTCTCCATAGCAGGGCTGGCGTCGATCACGAAAATAGTTCTCATGCCATACATCTGACAGGTTTCAAGCGTAACAAGCTTAACACGATTTAACATTGCCATGGGACCCATTTCTTGTCTTGGGTGCGGCCTGCCTCTGTTCGTTCATTCAACTACAGCCTTCATGAGTATTTTTGCTTAACCTTCGTTTCCAGGCGGGGCCTTACATTCTTTCTTCGTTCTGAGCTGGTTCTCCTGTATTTTTAATTTATTTTCACGGTATGAGGCTCACTCTTTTGAGAAGAAGTCCCTTGGAAGGGCTCGTAATGGGATGGTCGGAGGGGGCTGAGGAAGCAGTCGGGAAATGGTCAACGGACATCAAGGCTCGATCTAATGCCGCGAGGCAAGATGACTCTGGGCCAAGTGATGCAACAGATGCGTCGCCATCAGTTCAAGGAAGTTCCCCTGGTGGATCGCGAGGCGCCTCTGCTAGCCAAGGAAATTTGAATGCTGGGTCGGCAGCATCGCCATCAGGTCAACAAGCTTCGGGTACTGGATCAGGAGCATCGCCCTCTGGACAGGAGACTTTGGGGACCGCATCCGGATCAACTTCTGGCCAATCAGCTTCAAATAGCAATGCACCATCTCCACCCACCCTTCAAAGTGGTGGGGGCCCAGTACCAATAGTTGCTTCCGCTTCAACAGATTCGGTGTCCGAGGGACTACCAGCTGAGAATACACCTGAACCAACACAAGCCGAAAAGCAAACACAAGCCGCTGAACCATCGCAAGTTGTCCAGACATCGCAAGCCGTCGAACCAAACCAAGCTGCCCAGCCTACAAAAGTAGTAGAACAAACACAAGCCGTAAGTTCGTCATATTTTCAACCGAACAAATTGACTTACCAAAACCAGGCTTCTGCTCCTCCAGCAACTCCATCCTCTCCCCCTGTAGAAGTTTCTCCTCCAGTGGCAACCCCATCCTCCGCCCCAGAAGTCGCAGCGCCGTCGACAACAGCTGTTACTGATCCTACAACTTTACCCACAGATGTAGCAACATCGAGCGACGTTGCAACATCTGAACCTACGGCAACAGAGATTCCAGCTCCAGCTTCGACAACTTCAGACCCAGTAGTGGAAGCACCTGCAGCCACCACATCCACACCAGAAGTTATCCCTCCACCTGCAGCAGCCACAACCAGTACAATCGAGCTGGCGACTTTATCAACATCTACAACAGACGCGATCGTAGCAGCAACCACTTCAACAGCAGATTTAGCTGCAGCACCAACATCGACCAGTTCAAGTGTAGATCTCGTCTCTCATACTTCGACAGCGGACTCAGTAGCAGCAACGACCTCAACAACCAAAGCATTGCCTCCAGCAGCGGCTCAAACACCAGCTGCACAAGATACCACGGCAAATGATATCACCTCAGATCTTACCACCTCAACAACATCAACAACATCTACCCCTTCACCGAACGTCACCTCTCTACCGCCAGCACTTGCGCCCTTCACCAATGCGGGCGTCTCAACTTCTCTACCACCTGCTCTCGCTTCGTTCACAAAGACAGGCACAAGTCCCTTCACACCCGCGGCCAATACTCCCGTGTCACCATCATTCACCGGCATTCCTGCCCTTTCCGACACCTTGTCGGAGTCCTCGGGGGCCGCAATATCATCCAAGCAAAACCGTCCTTCCACGTTCGTCACTTCAATCACACCCACACAGATCGCCGACAGTCTGCCCAGCGGTGCTACCACAGGCGGTGCAGCTGGTGAAGGAAGTGGTTCAGGAAGTACAGGGAATGTCGGTCCAGGAGGGACAGGAGGAAACGATGTCAATGGAGCGAACGGCAATGGGATATCAGCTACCAAAGCTGACCATTCTGCAATGAGTAAGACAACACAAGCTGTGGGATTCACGTTTATTGCCAGTAAGTAAACCTTCCTGCCTCCATTCGCCCAACGCTAATGGAGATAAAAAGTCGGTTCCCTAGCTCTGATTGCAGGAATAATCTACCTCGTTCGCCGCATGCTGCGTCAACGTCGTCTCGGGAAGGCATACTCGCCTCCTTCTTCTCCCTTGTTGACCGCAATTAGCGATCCACTCCCGTCTGGCATCCAGAGAAGCATGTCCGAACGCTCTGCAATGGGGACTGGACGCAGCGAGTTCTGGAGTACAAGCGACAGCAACACGATGATCGGTCCTATTGGAACTGGTACGTACCAACCTTACATGCCCGGGGCACCTGCAACCTATCGCAACGACAATGGAACGTATCGCAGTGAGTTGAGCACCAATACTGGTGGTAATGACGGAGGCGGAAGGGGTGTGATGGGTGCCTTCGGGATTCGAACAAGTATGAATCGCAGCCCCTCTGGGCTTGACAATGGTGAGCCAAGGGATTGGAATCTAGATTTCAAAGAGGGATGGGATGAGAAGGTGGATGTCAGTCCGTCGAGCCTGTTGCCTCCGGTTGCGACGCTGGCGGGGGAGAGGGGAAGAATGGAGAGTTTGAGGGTCGATGGGATGCGCTTTGAGATCGTGGGGGAGCCGAAGAGGTTTGAGGTGACCAGGAAGGAGACGTTCAAGCCTAATGAGAAGCCTTTGGGTGGTCGTTCACGACCTCTTGCTGGTGGGATTGGTCAGAACTAGCCTAATGTTTAGATATGAGTTAGGTGTCGTAGAGGAAGATAGGGGTGGGAAGCGAGGAGGTTAGATGACTGGAGGAGGCTGGAGATGCGCAGTAGGATAGATGGTATATGAGCAATGGCGATATCATTACCCCTAAGACTCTCTGGCCATTATATACTTCTTCAACCACTTGAAGAGGTTGACATGAAGGACCTCATCTCATCTCAACCACTCCACCCCTCCGCTTCCTCAACACTCCACTCTTAACTCCCCTCACTCGTCATCAAAATACACATATCCTTCAGGGCCGGCAACCTCAACCTTAAATTAACATCCTAATACTCCCCGTCATCTAACATATTCGCAAAATGCTGAAAACTGCTATGCCCCACCAACGCTACTTCGTCCCACCCCCCTCCACTCACCCCTTTCTCCTCTTCCACCCCAGTCCCACTTTCCTCCCAAAGTTTCACAACTAGTCCATGCTTAGCCCCAGTCTCCTCTTTCATCGTCTCGATGTAGCTCGAATAAGACTCCTGAACAGAGGCAAAAGGACGGGAAGAGACGAGGTTCAACATTGAAATCGGACGCTTTGGACACATATAGGAGTTCCCAAATGCAAGTAGCCAAGGAGTTAACTCAATGCATTTAGAAGAAGCTGCCATCAACGGCTCATGGAGGTTCGTGAGTCTTGGGATGTCTTCTGGTGTGGTTGAAGCCAAGATGCGCTTTGGGATTGGAAAGTGGAGAGTAAGGTGTTGGATTCATATCAGGTGGTGGAGAATGTGTGGGCGATGAGGTGGGTGAGAGGATGAGAAGGTAGTCACAATTTTGAGTTAGAAGGTAATCAGTTATGATTTACTGGGTTACTCGGGCCGTTATGAGGGGTTTGACGGGTGATGTGTTGAGGGTGGGTAGTAATGTGAAAGGGGATGTTGAGGCAGTGAGGGAGAGAGTATGACTTTCAGGACAGCCGTTATTTGCATTGAGAGATGAGTCCTTGTTTTACAATACTTGGTTGCTCAGTGAGATCCAATGGGAATCCAAGGATGAATTGTGATGAAAGCAGGGGACGCCTACCTTCGAAAGTTTGGGGATCAGCCACGCACGAAGTACCATCTTCATGCGTACAATATGCATGACAGGCTGCATTTCAGATTTACCCACACAACTCTATCCAGACACAGTCAAGACATCTAACAGTCTTCCGATAATCGACATCAACTAAATACTAGAAGGGGATTACTCAGCATTCGTAGCTTCGATCCCCTAGTCTCCTTTCTGCCCACAACAACTGACCTCTTTAGCATTTCCCTTCGGCACCAACGTACTCTTATTAACACTCTGTCTGCTAGCAGGCATATCAAGCGCTGGATTCCTCTCAAAGAAATGACTCGGCTTAATCGCAACCCTGAAAACCTCACACGGCATAACAGGCCAATCTTCCGGTCTTGGATTATGCGTGAACCCAAAGTTCACCCACGCCACGCCCTCACTTCCCAATTTCTCATTCCTCCCGGCCCAAGTCCGCACACCGCCTCCTCCCACCGATTGCCATGGATAGTCACCGGCGGGATAGAGCTCGTGTTCAGATTGCTTGGTGAAATAGAAGTGGTGGTCTGCGAACTCGGCGCGGGAGGCGTGGGTCGATGTTGCGTGACTCAATTGGAGTTGTGTTGCTGAAACGTGGACTGCGTAACCGGGGTTCTTGCCTGTCACTTTATTGACCTTTTCCTTATTCACAAACTTCACGATGCGATTCCGGCTAGGATCAAGATCGAGATGGCCCGATTTGTGGATTTCGTGGGACTCGAGGCCATAGGCTACGCCGTAAGGGTTGCGGTTCTTGGTCACGGGTTTGGCGATGGATTCGTTGTAGGCGATGGTTGAAGAGTTGCACCCGTCGATGGCAGGATCCATGCGAAGACAGAAGATGTGTTGGTGGGATGGGGCCATGACGCCGGGTGCGACCATGATGCCGTAGTCGATGTCGTGCTCTACGCCCTGCCGCATGGGGACCACGGACATGATGCCTGTAGCGCGGATCTCGTAGTGGATGGCTGCGGCTGTGTCGAATGTCCAGATGAGGATGTACTCATAGTTGGAGATGGTCATAATCTATGAAAGTCAAAGCCAGTCGCCGGCAAGTGATATGTAAGTGCGGAAAGAGACTTACAGTTTGGATGACCAATTCCCTGGAACGAGTGACTTCTGCACGCATATTTCGATAGTTCGTGTGCTTCCATCCCACACCGGCGTCAACTTCATGCATACAAATGCAGTTTTCCCGAATTTCTGGCCGTCCTTGAGAGTCGTTGACCCAGCGGTCGAAGTAACGGATCGCACCAAGACAGTCACAGCCCAATGCCAGATTGTTGGCTGTGTTCCCCACACCACCTTCCCCGAGATCGTAGGCACTCTTTCTGTGAAATGGAGGCCTGGGATCAGCGTACGGAACAGTCATCTCAGCAAGTGCCAGTCGATAGAAGACAGGCCGTCCATCATAGCAAACATCGCGGAGAACAACACCTTCTCTCCAGTTGAAATCCATGTGAAATTTCCACTTCTGCCATGAGATAACTTGATCATCTTCCACAGTGAAGCTGACACCTTCAGGCTGAGAGATGATAATCGGCTTGACATCTTGGCGGAGAGATGGCTGCAGCTCGGAAGCATATTCAGCATCCGGTTGCGGCTGATAGACCTCATCATCCCCAGATTGAGAATAAAGTCCATCGCCCATTGGCAGTCTGTCAATCTTCACCACTTTCTTCGTGACATCGTCGACGACGGCGGAAAAATCGAGCGGATGAACAAAGTGGTTGGACGACGGATGAGCCCGATTCTTCTGATCCAGTGAGCCAAGGAAGAACCACACTTGATACTGCTTCGGATCCGCCTCACTGGTATCCTTGCCATACGGCCACGCTTCGGGGACAACTTTTGCACCTTCGGGGATTTTCAGCCGTGCAATCTCGGCTTTCACGAGCTCGTCTTCTAGGACCAGTTGTTGAACTGCAAGCATGTCGTCTGTGCCTGCAGGTGGATGAACACCCTTGGGTAATTCCTTATGAAATATCACTTTGCGAGTTCCTAAGTCCGCGATGTCTTCAAATGCCTCAGGTTGGCCTTTGAATTGATAGCTGACATATGTGCAACGTGGCACGTGAGGCAGTGATGCGGATGAACGTTCAGCTTCGAGGAAAGCAACGACAAGGGATCGACGAGGTTCCTTGATAGCAATGATGCGGAATACGATGTCTTTGCCGGGGTAGGTCTGACGTATGATATCTGATGTGATTGTGAGCTCCTGCGGCTGGAGGGTCAGGAGGGGGTGAACTGTCTTCTGGCGGTTGACGAGCATGGTTGCGGTTCCTTGGCGAGGAAAGGGGCATGAGACGGTTTGAGTGAGATGATGTCTGCGTACTCCAGCTGAAAGACGGCTTTATAAACAGATCGCATCCGAAGCCGTGCGTTATCGTCCCGCAAATGTTTCCCCGGGAGAGTTGTCTACCCGGTTGATACCCGCATACCCGTTATCTAATCCATCCCAGCCGATTAGCTCAGAAGCCGGTCGGAACGGCGTCGGGCTGAGCGCTGGATATCGGGAAGATGCCGAGGGACGAGACTTGATCCTATATTGGTTAGTTCAGGTGCTCGGCCTCTAATTGAGTTATTTATGGCTTGCACCTTGGAAGGTTGTGAGAATGAAAAACCGAGGTTTTATGCGACGTTAATGCGCGGTGTTGATACGCTCGCCTGTAAGCGAGGTCATCAGGGTCTTGGGCAGCGGAATTAGACCGCTCCAGGTAGCATTCGGCCGCTCCGCGGGGCGACACCTGAAGCTTCACTTTATCATTCGCACCTTGTTCTTAACTTTGGACTTAGTTTTGAAGTCTGAAGTTAGCCGGAACTAATTTCTGACAGTCTGAGGTGAGACTAAATTCTCATTACGGCATGAGGTATACAGTATTACGGGTAGTCGACCCCGAGATGACACAAAGCACGCATTATATATATAGCTACCATTCCCACTCCTTTTCGGTCCTCCTCAATCGACCCCTTACGACCTCAAACCATTGATATCAGTCTCTATTTCACGAGTCCTGAAGAATTTAAAATATCAAGATGGTATCAGAACTCACCAGCACCGTCACCCTGACCGGGATAGCTGGCCACAAACTGGAGCGTAAGTTACCTGTCATCCTTTTTATACCATCAACTCACAGCACAAAGTCCCCACCGGACTCTTCATCAACAACCAATTCGTCCCCTCCAAAACTCACAACACCCTTGAAACCCTGAATCCCGCCACTGGTGAACAGCTCGCAGTAATATCCGCGGCTTCCCTAGAAGATGTCGACCTCGCTGTCCAGCACGCAAAGGCTGCCTTCAAATCATGGCGCAAATCCCACGGCCCTGTCCGACAAAAGCTGCTCCTCAAACTCGCCGACCTGATCGAGCGAGACGCCGACGAACTAGCTACACTCGATGCCCTCGACGCAGGGAAAATCTTTGGGGAGTCGAGGCACATGGATGTTCCCAATGCGATTGAGCACCTAAGGTATTTTGCAGGCTGGGCCGATAAGATTGATGGAAAGAGTTTGCGGATCCCGAATGGGTTTGCGTGGACGCAGCGAGAGCCGATTGGGGTTTGTGCTACGATTGTGCCGTGGAATGCTCCTTTGTAAGTTATCCTCCCCACTCCTTGCTAAGCTGAAGAGAGAGGGATTTGGCTGACGGCGTGGATAGGATGATCACGATCTGGAAACTCGCGCCAGCGATAACGGCTGGCAACGTGTTGATCATCAAGACTGCTGAACTCACTCCTCTCTATGGCATCAAGCTCGCCCAATTAGTCCTCGAAGCTGGATTCCCTGCTGGAGTCATTCAAATTCTGACAGGACTCGGCACCGTTACCGGGAAAGCAATGTCTCAGCACATGGAGATCTCGAAACTTGCTTTTACCGGCTCCGGCACGGTTGGGAGGCAGATTATGATTGAGGCCGCGAGGTCGAATCTGAAAAAAGTGACCCTTGAACTTGGTGGCAAGTCACCTTCTATTATTTTCGATGATGCGGATCTTGAGAATGCGGTGTTCTGGGCGGTCATTGGAATTACAGCACATAATGGACAGATTTGTGTGGCTGGGAGTAGACTGTATGTTCAAAAAGGGATCTATGATAAATTTGTGGAGAAGTTCAGGGAGATGAGCTTAAAGGCTGTTGCTGGGGATCCCCTCCTACAAGACAGTACTAAGGGCCCAGTTATTAGCAAGGTTCAACATGAGAAGATTCTGGGACATATTCAGAAGGGTGTTGAGCAAGGAGCAAAACTACTTTACGGAGGGAAAGACGTTGAGGGGAAAGGGAACTTTGTGGAGAATACGGCGTTCGTGGATGTTGGGGAGGAAATGAGTATGATGCAGGAGGAGATCTTCGGCCCTGTGGCGGTAAGCTTCCTCTCATTCTAGATCATGGGTTGATGACTGATAGCGAGTAGGCAATTACCAAATTCGAGACGGAAGAAGAGGTGATCGAAAAGGCAAACAGCACCTCATACGGACTGAGCAGCGCCGTTTTTACCAACGACGTCTCACGTGCACAGAGAGTTAGTCAAGCACTTGAAGCTGGACAGGTTACTGTAAACGCATGGGCTATGCTGAATCCTAACACACCGTTTGGAGGGGTGAAAGAGAGTGGATTTGGGAGAGACATGGGTGAAGATGCGTTGGATGGGTGGACGGTATTGAAAACAGTGAAGATTGCAATTTTGCCTGGGAAGCTGTGATGAAAGATGTACTGTGTGGCTGTTGGGTTATATATAAGATAAATAAAGAGAGACTATCTCCAGTCCTAAATAGGAAGGTGGCGAGTAAAGGGTACACTTCACTGCAAGAATTACTTCATTGCTTCGCATACGCGGCACAGCCCAGGCAGCCAACTTCGACATCCAACAACCTCACTCCCCTCCACTCTTAGAGCCTCCTTATCTCTCTTCCCCACCTCTACGTATCAATTCTCTGTACAATACAACCCGCCCACACCCCACAACAGCCCTCACTCCTCATAAAATTATTCTCACCAACATCACCTCCTGACAATGGTGCGCACAAACAAAGGACCGCGCTACCCCCCGCCGCCGCTCTTCCCCGCAGTAAAAGCCGACATCCCCGCCATACTCGCCATCTGGCTCGCCGCTAGAGCGCCGGATCTCCTCGTCCAAACCGTCTCCCGGCCTGACGAACAAGCACGCTTGACCTTATTTCTCAACGAACGATTCTCCAACCCCCTTGCCTCAATCATAAAAGCTGTCGATTGGAAAGATCCTAATCGCATTACCGCCGTTGGGATCTGGGAGAAGAAGAACTACTCCTCCCCTTCACCCTCTGGATGCTTGGAAGCTAGTGTGAGTGGGACTGAGAATGGGGGCGGGAAATGCTGCGGTGGCTTTTTGATATCTGGAAATGGAAATACGAAGGAAGGGGAAAAGAGGACGCCAATCGAAGACTTCATCCGCGACCGACAACTGGCGTTTAACGACACCTGGCCTAATGGTGTAAAGCACATCGAGCTTGTGCTCCTTATGACTGACCCTGCGTTCCAGCGCCGAGGGATCGGGACCGCGCTGCTGAAATGGGGATATGCGCTTGCGGATGCGGAACAAGTGCCGTGCTTCTTGTGTGCGAGCCCGTTTGGGTGGCCGTTGTATAGGGCGTTGGGGTGGCATTAGGTGGGCGAGGAGCTGGTGATTGATTTGAAGGAGTTTGTTAAGTATGCGGAGGGGGGTGATCAGGGGTGGGGGGTTTATAAGATGCGGTTTATGTTGAGGTTGCCGAGGGTTACAGGCCGATGTTGCCGTTCCACGGAATCATTGTAGCGGATTGAATATCTGAAGTATTGGCATCTGGGACAGGAAAGTCTGAAGTATTATTTCGAAAGTGTATCTGGGGGACGAACTGAAATTTCCAATGCCACGTAGTATGGCGTGGGTTGGCTCCCGATAGCTGGGTTGCTGCACGCGATAAGTTCTGCGAGTGTTCTCGAAAACTTCTCAAGACGAGATTCCAGTAAACCGGTGTCCAATGAGGTGCTCTGCTTTTCAGTCACTGAACAGTACAGACAAGATGAGATCGCGAAGATGTGCCCGATTCCAAACATCTCTCCGTACATGATCCTATTCCTCAATCTTCAGCGGGCTCCACTAAACCCTTATTACAAATATTCTTGTGATACTTCCAATCCGCCTTCTGATGTTCCCTCCCACAGTACCTCTGAATCTTGCACCCATTGCAGACCGTCAGCCTCTCCGGCCCAGTGACCCTACAACTCGTCACCCCACACACTAAACTTGTCTCCTGCATTCCTCGTATCATAGAAATCATTGTTGGGTCCATCCCCTGGATCTGGTCCACCAACCTCTCCGACGCATTCTTTATCGTTTTAACTGGAGAATTCTTATACGCCCTCTTCCACTCGCGGAGCTTGGGTATAAGCTCATTTATGCGAGGGTGAAGGGTCTCGATCTCGGCACGGTATAGAAGCATCGTTGACACGAACTGCAAGAGCGTGCCGAAATCGTCGTCGAACTTCGCGGGAGGGATTCCCATGGGGCCCGGGGGCCGAGTGACGGCCTTCATTCGATCGACGAAGTCGGGTATGAGGAGCTTCTCAATGACGTCGTTGAGGAGAGCGGGGTGTTTGGCGGCGTGTTTGCAGACGTCTGGACTGCTGCTCGCGAGGAAGTTGAGGAGAATGAGGGCGGTTGAAATGTAGTACTGTGGGAGGGAGGGGTCGTGGAGGGTAGGTTCGTCGCTCGTTTGGTATGCGATGAGAGCATTGAGGTATTGCGAGGCAATTTGGGCGACGACGTGGTGTTGGGCTGCGGATGGGACATATTGGAGCGCGCCAACGATGTTTCCCAAAGGGACATTGGTCGGTGGAGGTGGTAAGGCTGGGTATCTGAGAGCGGCAAACCCGATGGTGTAGAGAGTCAAGCCATTGGGGAAGGTTGGAGGTGCCATGGTGATTGATCGTCAGTGCAAACGCGTCTTGGGGATCGTAAGCGCGTTGAGAAGGATGCGATATTGACAATCGTGTAAATAGAGTCGGTGAAGCTTCACAAGAGAAGCAGAGAACGCAGAAAATGCGTTGTCTTGTCAGCGAGAAAATGGGGAGAAGACCGATGTCGATCGAACGGAGTCGGTGTGGGAAGTGCAGGACGCGCTAGGACGCGTTGGAAAAGCAGGTCACGTGTCAGAGCCCTCGTTTCTAACTGAATTCTCCAGATACACTCTTATAAAGTGTGGCATGACGAAATACTTTTAAAAAGTTAGATCTCACCTTCCTTCCAAAGCTTGCTGGCTCCCAGATCTTGTCTCCTAGTAGGGGCTGTGGAAGAAAGATATTAAGGATCTCAACGCCACTTGTATCTCTACCCTCCCTTCTTAAGTCGAGACTTTTCCCTCTATCTATGTGATTTCCTTTCCTTAATAGATTTTTTTCCAGCTTTATATAATACCTATTATTCCGCTATTTCAGAAGCAAACCCAATCATTGAAATAAGTTTGAAGAACGAGGTAAATACTGTAGGCGAAGGGAGGGCTGGGGAAATGCGGGGTAAAATTTCAGGGGGCTCGCTTGCTTTCGAAGCACACCAGTATTGGCACACTGAACACAGCCTCCACTCTCCAACCCATCCTTCATCACTGGTTCAAGCACATTATTAACCGGCTTCGAAACATTTCCTTGGTGTCAGACACCGATGATAAAGTATGACAGCCATTCAACCAGCCGATGTCTACACCTATAGCGCTCTCGCCCACTCCAACTCCACCAGGCTGCTTCAACTGCAGCCTTCCAACAATTCGGATGCCACGTTGGTGGGCAAACTGAGCGAAGTTCGTCTAGCTGATAAACCCGAATTCGAGGCTTTATCCTACGCCTGGGGACAGGATGAAAGCCAGCCACGCTTCCTCAGGCTGGACAACTCCAGCCTCCCCATCTCGGAAAACCTTGCCGCCGCTCTCCACGTCTTCAGACTAACAGATAAACCACGGAATCTATGGATAGACGCTATCTCAATCAATCAAAAGGACAACAACGAGCGCTCTAGCCAGGTCGCTCAAATGGCAGCCATCTACAAAACCGCAACTGTGGTTCTCGTGTGGCTGGGGGAGAGCACTGCTGGCACTGAAGCGGCGCTGCAATTCTTACGAGACGTGGCTGCTAACGACCACGGACTGGACTTGAGCGCTGGTTCTGCAGGGCCAGGGTGGTTTCAATTTTCGGGAAGGACTTTGAAAGGAAGCCACGAAGAAGTCATGCAGATCGTTCAGTCAACGGCCAAGCCAAGACTCGACGATATATTCGGAAGAGCATGGTTTACCAGACTATGGATCATTCAAGAGATTGCCCTGGCGAAATCAGCAGCGCTATTTTGCGGACGTGAGAGCATAGAGTGGGAACTCTTCGCCATATCTCTGTGCGTGCTAAAGGCAGCCATGAACACGACAAGAGTGGGAATCGCGTGGCTAAGCAGTTTTGAGAAAGCATGGCATGTGGTTGACGTGAAAGCTTCGTTGCAGGTAGCTTTACATACGTTTTACATATCACCGTACAATCAACTTGCGAATTTTATGGATTTGGTTAAGGGTCAAAAGTGTAAAGATGATCGGGATCGGATATATGCTCTTCTTGGACTGGGGCTGTATCACTTGAGCAATGATATTAAGTCGTCCAATGGAATGGGCTCGAAAATAATTCCCGACTATAGCAAGTCGACCGCCGAGGTGTATACACATGTGGCAAGGCATTACGCCTTACAGGGCGACCTATTCATTCTCCACAGCGCAGGTTTATGGCGACGCCTTTCACCACCCGGGGGATGCAACGTGCAAGAGTACGTGCCGGAAGTTCCTCTTTCAAGTCCCGACTACCTCCCGTCTTGGGTGCCCGACTTCAACAACGCGAATACATTCAAGCGCATCCCGTGGTTCGATGACGATTTCAGCGCAGGGCTTAGCATGAGGCTTGCTCGGGTGGCACTCGACCAACACTCCATCAAGAGGGTCCACGTCATAGGCAAGATAATCGATACAGTCGAGCGGCGAATGGCCGTTCCCGGCCTGGCCGGAAGTTCAAATATGTTTCAAGCTGTGTGTGATCTGGTCAAAAGCTGCTTGGGTGCACATCTTGAGCTCACTCCATGGAGGCCAACCACAGTGTTAGACTTTCCACTCGCTTTAGTGGCTGATGGCGTGGTACGTTCTCTCAAATATGGCACACATACCGAAGGTCGCATCCCCGTTGCGGATGTTGTGGAAATGTACCAGCTTTTCAACAAACATTGCGGGGCAAAGATGGCGAGGTTCGACTCAAGGTTGCCGAACTCTCCGCAAAAGCCGATTCGGTGTCAAGTCAGGAAATTTACGAGGTGTTGACCGAAGAAGGCAGGAAAGCTTTCAGATTCTATGATGCGCTTTGTGATGTTTTTGAGCAATGCCAGTTTATGATATCTGCCGGTGGGAGGATTGGTCTTATTCCGATGCTTGCTGAGCTGGGGGATGCGGTCTTCGTGGTTCCGGGGCTGGCTACTCCGTATCTTTTGAGGGGCGTTAGGGGAAGTGACGCGGATTTTGTTGTTATTGGGCCTTGTTATGTGAGGGGGATTATGGATGGAGAGATGGTCAGCTCGACTTCTGAATGGGAGACTGTTTCATTAGTATAGATTTTTACCTCCTGAACTCTTGGGGAATGACCGTGCGTTTGGAATTACTAGGGCAATGCTATTTTTAGCCCGCTCTTTGCTGGCTTTTGAGCTCTCTGTCCTCGCTGAAAAGTCCAGCTGATCACAAAGCCAGGGGCTGATTCAGATCAAAGTTTTCTCCCACCGAAAGCTGAGGCACTTGCGTATACTGAGACTCCTTCAAACAAGCCCTCGTGTCCGACAGAGCCTATACCCATCCGTCAACACAGTCTCTGTAAATGAGCCACGAGAATTACTCACCTCAATGTAACTCGGATTCGGAATCCTCTTCATAGTCTCCAAGAACGCCCAACTCATCGCCCCCTCACTCATCCCCTGGATATTAGCATCCGCACTCGTCTGATCATCCCGGCACCCACTAAACATAGTAACCATCTTCTGCTCCCCCCTATTCTCCTCAAAGCCACCATCCTCCAATCCACTCCCGCCTCCTCCTCCCATATGCTTGAAACTTCGAAAGAAGCTCGTGGCACCTGCATACAGATCTTGCGCTTCCGCCACGTTAAAGCTCCCCCCTCTCCCTCCTTGAAAAAGGTCGTTAGCTTCACCAAGGAGACTAACACCTTGCTTGATATTGTCAACGAGGTTCACGTTCCCATCATCATCCCCACGATACACCAGCGACAGTTCTAAAGCGGAGCCGGAGTGGCAACAATCTAGGATTACGAAGAGGGTGCTGTTGGGCGCAAGCGCTCGGACGACGTGCTGGTGCAACATGTCGCTGTCGATCTGGCCGTTGTCTTGGAAATCGACGGGACAGATGGTGTCCAGGACGCCAGACGGGTGCTCGCCAGTCGGGTCCTGGACCTGACCTCCGTGGCCGGAGTAGTGGAGGAAGTTCGTGGTATCTGGTTCACTTACGAGCCAGTCGATGGCCGCCTAGACCGGTCAGTGAAGGGAAGGGGATGAGGACGGTATGTGCAGGGGAGCGGTACATACGAGAATGTTATGCCCGGTAGGGTAGTAGTTCCCTTCTAGGTCGTCGCGAAGGATTACTTGTGAGCGGGGGTCGTCTGAGTACCCTCGCTCGCTGAGAAATTGAGCTACGTTCTCGACGTCTTGGTGACATCCACGAAGCTCGTTCTGACTGCCGGTGTAATTGATTCCGATGAGAAGGGACTTCTTGCGGGACATGGTTAATAGCGAGATTGGATATGGTATTTTGGCGGTTCGGGAGATGGCACTGATAGAAATATGAAAGTGACATGTGGTGAAGAATGAGAGGCTAGATATGAAACATTGTGGCGGCGCTTCTGATGCACACTAGCAAGGGTACACTAAAAGGAGCAACCTGCCAAACATATCTGCCTACTGGTTACAGTGAGGCAAGTGAAGTTGTAACATTGTGAAATCTTGAGTAGGAACTCGAATAGCGCTTTGGATCGAACACAATCAGCAGCATCATCTTGGTCGGATTAGGGGATTGGGTCGGTCACGTGATTTGTCCCTCTTTCCCCGAGAGCGCTTCATCCTCGGTACTGGAGTTAGAGCTTTATTCATGTATGTCGCAAAAGAACCCCCTCAAGTTACATCCAGCATAAAACTAGCTATCCAACTTCGCGGAGGATAGAAAAAAAATGCGGCACTCACTTTTGGTGTCCTAAGTCTGAGTTAGAAATTTAGCTAGACGCTGGAATAAGGGCTTAATGTATTTTTGGGGATTTCCAAGATATTCGAAAAATATACTCTTTCAATATACCAGGGTACTAGGGGATATTCCGTGGGAGAATATCTAAAATGATCCTACTTGATTTAGGACATTCAAAACCGTCTTTTCTGTCCACCACGAGCCCACATCACAACTTAATTATACACCCCTTCAGGGAAACATCTGCGCCTCGGATAATCACCCAACTCCACTCTATACGGCCCACCCCTGCCTTTAGGAACTGTATAAATGTACCTCTTCTCCTGTCTTGGATCTAGCACCTTACAGATATCCTTTCCACTCATCGCCGTCCCGTTATCATCCAGTTTGTCTAACAACGGTCTTAGCAATCTTGCGGTAGAAAATACACTTTGATCTTTAACCACGACCCTATTCGCCCAGAATGCGGTTAAGACGAAAGAAGCACCTTGAATTCCAACTATAAGTCCCATGATCACGCAGACATAATTCCAGTGATCGACTTTTAGTTCATTGCCAATCTGCGGCTGGAGGCCGGTGACGTTAAAGGCGTGGGTTGTATAAATTGCAGCCATTGAAACAACCCCCATAGCGAACATAGCAATGTTTGACCCCATGCCATCGGTATCTCCTTTCTGTGGGACTCCGTATGGAGATGCTGAAGGATAGACTTGGAATTGTTGGGATCCGGGAAGCCGGGAATTCAAACCATGGCCTTGGAGCGCAATGCCAGCTGATGCCATCTGGCGGAGGCTGATTCCAACTTCGTGTTCTGGTAGCTTACCGTTGGTGACATTTCCAACTGTGATATTGCATTGATAGTACCAGGATGTAGTGTGCGAAGTCTCAAATGCGTCAATAATGCTACATCCTTCCCCACAGGTCGAATCCGGTTTGGTCACATACATAGTGGTGTCTGGACCAGGAGCAATGGGCAAAGGCACCTTGAATGAGTCTCCGCTGGAATCTTCCTGTACTGTCAAGTTTTCAGAGGTTCCATTTCCTCCTGCAATGACTGCGTAGCTCAGACAGGAAGACGTCGAATTGATTTTTCGATTCGTGTACATGGCAGAAGGGCCACCAGTGGCATTAGCAAATCCAGGATCTGACGGCGAGGAGTCAATGAATACAAATGTCCAGCTCCTTTGATCATACTCCAAGAAAAAGAGAGCATTGATCGACCAGTACAGTGTTGCAGGTTCAGGGATGTTGCTGCTATAACCCTTTGGAAAACTTAACGCCATGTTCCCAAAGCTAATATTTAGTTAGCTTTATTAATACAAGATGCCATACTTAAGAGAATGAAACTGACCTATTTGCAGTATACTGTTGAGTTTCAATTGAACCTGCATCTGGGGTCCCCACCGGAAAGATCTGCGTCATATTGGGAAGCAAAACATTGCCTGGTGTCGTTTGGGCAATGGAGCCTTCTTTGTCTACACCATAAGCCAAGCCCACGGCAGCAATTGACACTTGAGCGGCCTAAATGGAGGCTAGAATCAGGTTTAAATCTCTTGCCATTGGGGATGAAAACTTACAACGTTGACTAGCCACCAAATTGCGATCCCTAAGATGAGACCCCAATCACGGCAAAGATGACGAGACCAAAATTTCCGCCAGGCAAATTTCCCTAGTACCATAAGACTATCTGCGCGGAGTATTTTATCCACCTAACGACACCTGGGTAAGCTGAGTCAAATCAGGTGTTGGATTAGAAGACGTACTTCGGGAAGGCTCCTCGTCTTCCTGCTTAGAATCCACCATCGAATATCAACGGCCATGGACTTGAACCCTTCGGCAACACACATGCCCAAGGTCATGGATAATCCGGTATTAATAGCATTGAATACGGATTTCATATGTTTGCTCATGACCCTCTGGCGCGAGAAATGCCAGATCGTACACACTAACAAGGCGGCTATGATCAGAGTTCTTATGAATTTCTTGAAACCACGACGGAAAATCACCCACAACTGCCTCTTGGAATTAAAGTATTGGTGTGGCAGTGCACGAGGTTGAGTTTCGTCTAGCCCCGATGGTAGAGATGGATTTGAGTTGCGACCTACAAATGGTTCTCGGCTATGGGCCAGCGACGGCAGTTCAGTCTCTGTGGAACCCCAAACGAGTCAATAAAGCACACTGCTATTCGCTGAGCCCTTACCTTCTTCAGAATAATTGTTCGGTGGATTATCCGGCTGCGGAACCGAGTTCAAGAGAGGAGAGCTTATCTGGGGCCTTGATGAACGGCGTGCATGTTGGTCACTTGGAGTTCCGCTCAACGTGGTCTGCGGGAGAACACTCGTATTGGTAAGCGGTGAGTGTGCTCCCCGTGTTGGTACTGAATCCAGAGCGATATCATCACCCTGTCCTAGTCGGGTCGCCAGAGGCGCGTAAGTTCCATGCTGCCCTCGTGACATCCTCGGGTTTGAATCTCCCTGCACAGGCTCAACGTTGTGAAGTTGTCAATGAAAACTCTCCAAATGAATTCGAAAAAATGTTTGGCGAGGCTGCGTAAACCTAGGTGAGCCATCTCCCTTTATCACAGAGCTGAAGGCTAATGTTCGCCACCATAGACGCCCTGATTGCTGGTGTCAAGATGCAGTGCGAATGCCTGGTGAGCCACCTTAGCCCACGACTCGAATCACAGAGGTTGAACTAATGACGTTGACTCATCGAAAATCAGCCCAGTTCACATTTTCCTGCTATCTCTCATTTTCATGTTCCTTCTCAAGCCACAGATTGCAGCCTGCGCAAGCCTGCATCAACACGGTGACCAATAGTGGAAATTCCTTCCGCAGCCGATGGCTGCATGTGATAGATAGTTAAGCCGATTGTATGTAGCACAAAAACGATCACAAAGAGCGTGATAGCAAGGCGCTACCCCACAATTACGTGTGGCTTCCGAATCCTTGTGAGCCGATTGGGCGCTTTTACGAAAAGACGCGGCGTGCATACGAGGACACACGACCTAACGGGAGTATTGAGATTGATTTCAGAGACAACAATTTTGGTTATTACGCATTCTAGGTAAGAGTGAAGACTGCAGGTTTGACGAAGTATCACGTGAGCTTAAGTGGTTGTTGCAGCTATCGCCAAGCTGGCACTCAGCATATACCTCCAAGTGGAGGGTTTCCTACCCTTTAAGACCGCAATATGGCATACCGTGTAGTTAAACGTTCTTGCGTGTCTACCTTATTGAAAGTCTCACGCTACTTTTGTCCCCTTACTCCACACTATTGTTGTTCTGGTTTTCTACTAATTCGTGAGAATTCCACATTACCAAGACGGCCTCACTAAATGTAATGCCCCCTTCTTGCTTTTTAAGTTAGCATCCAATCTTCTTTCGTTACTGTCATAGGATCCACTATGAAAGCAAGCTGTAAAGCCATGAGCGCTTGTACTACGAGTCAAAGAAGGAGGCCAGAGCGCTCCACCTTGTAGGGAGATACAGGTACATTGAGATTGCCACAATAGAGCAGACCAATCCTAAGACAGTGAATACTTGTACCCACCGCCAAACCGTTACCTTGGGGTGACTTGATAAAGGGTATATCGCGGTGAAGAGCTCGAGCAATTGCATCATAGAATTCTGTAATAGAAACCAGAAATCAGGGTCTGAAGTCGAAACTGAGTTGCTCGAAGATCGAAAGCACGCAAAAATCATTGGAACACCAGATATCAAACTTCTAAGAATCGCGGCCGCCAAAAGAGTGTGATTGTACTGCACGTTTTGTCGGAAAGCAACATCTCTAGTTCTAACAACGTGGAGTCGCTTACGTCTGGACGCTGCTGTGGATAGGCCGCAACCGCTACTGGCTTTTCCTCCCAAGGTGCCAATTGAAATAGTTGGTAAGGCAGCTCACATGGTGTTTTGTCGTTCATGATCGCCGGGGAAGGCTCCGTGTTATACATAGCGACGAATCTTGCAAGAACCTTGAGGAGCGTTAAAATTCCGTCACACACGTCGTCTCTTTGTGAACTCCGCAGATATTCCTCAATGGCCTGAAATAAATTAGCACCATCCGGTAACTCAAGGATATCTAAAGCTGCTTGTTTGTCTACGTACCACCATACAGCAGAGTAGTGATCGCCTTGAGAGCCGAGCAAGGCCGCATCGGCTTTTACCCGGACTTCAAGATAGTGGTATCTCGCCTCTGATAGAAAAGCTCGAAGGCTCGAGACGTCTCCATCTGGTCTTGGGATTGTAAAGCTCCATGCTACCTCGAGGCCAGCGCAATCGTTAACAGTAAGGTATCGGTCCCAGTCTCGGCCTTCGTGAAGAGCTATCTTGCACTTTTCCAGATGGTCTGCCTTGTTCCTCTCGCACCGAGCCATGCAACACTCTGGAGCTTTAAGTTGGCTTTCTGGAAGTCCTTCGCCAACCCTTGACGGCACCTCTGCGACATTCTCTGCTAGGGGGGGCGTCGATAAATTATTACTGATAATTATTGATTAGCAATCGTTATCGCGCGATCAATAGATGGTTAATAATTATACTTTGGCGATTTCACGATTCTGCTATGAGGCTGCGTGAGGTCTACATCGCTAGAAATACAGCCACTGGCCCTGTACGAAGGCGACGGGCGAAAAAAACCGGCCACCTGCCAAATCGCAAGGAACACCAAAATCGCTACCTGTGGAAAATCACACTAAGGTTCAATACAACGTCTAAACTCTTTACTTTTTAATTTGTGCAATAGAGAAGAAGCAGATCTATCTTTTACAACAATTTTGCTGGAATTAAATTCAAGTTATAATTACGACAAATTTTTTATCGCAAGGTTAAGATTGCGCAAATTCTCGCTTAAGGGATTTGGACGGTTTTTTTCGCCCGTCGCCTTCGTACTAAAGGATTGGACCCACTATCGATTATCGACTAATTAGTCCGATTATCTATCGGTCGGTTATCGAGCCTATCGGAGCCCACACTGGCCTCCGCAGATCTGAGGCTGCTTGGATCTATGTTGAAATAAAGCTTGAATTGTTATGTTTTTCTAGGAAAGCTCCAGCTTCCTTAAAACTCTGGAAATTACGTCCCCACTTAAAAGTGGACCACAGAGCGCACAGCCCCTGATTTTCGACAATCTACTCACGTTTGTTAGGTGGATCTACCATATTATGTTCGTTATATAGTTTATACTTACCTGTAATATCCGACCACGGCGTCGAAAAGTAAGCGGTTTTGGGAACGTTGGCATTTGTCAAAGATCATGCCTTCGGCTTGAGATCCGTCTTAAGACACATCAAATAATAACACCCAGACAAGAAACTCCCAGAAAACATGACTGACAATGTTCTGGGAATGAAGTACGCACTTTGTTGTGCTGCGCACTCACAGATTGAATTTGGCAGCATCTTTTAAAAGCCAAGCCTCGCTGACCAGGATTGTCTTCCGTGGCTTTTGTGGTGGTTGTGTAAATCTTGCTCGAAGCGCAGCCCAGGCTTGGCAGAAATACCTAATTTCAGGTATCGATGCCAGAATCGTAAGGTATCGATAATATCGATACCGTATCGATTCTTAGTAATACTTTGCCCTATTTCTAAGGCCCCAGCTAATTTTGGTATCATCGTCTGAACTATACCAAATAATTACATAAATCATGCTTTATATAATATAATATAGCTTAATCTGAGTCATTTATACTCCCATTTTTAATTTTCGATAATCCAGATATCTTTAAAATAAGTTCTTAGCTTCTAATACTCTCTCTAATTTATATATACTTTCTATATATCCTCTATTTTAGCTATTTATACATATATATATATATACTAGTTAAGATAGCAGCTTAAGCTCAGTAAGATCTAGTAATCTGAACTCGTCTTAATAGCTATAATAATATATATTACTTCCTTTATATAGGAGATAATAAACTAGAGCTATCTATTATTACTAGTAGCCCTTAATAGCGAAATACCTTTAATATTACTAATTCTACTTCCTCAGATATTATAATTAAAAGTCCCTATACTTCTAATACCTTTAATATCCTGTTTCTTTCTGAGATTATTAATATAATCTTGATTTAATAAGTATAAGTTACTTCTTTATACTTTATATAATCTATACTAAGTAATATAATTATTAAGTTAATATCTGTATTTCTTATACTATTTACCAAAATAGTTAAGGCATTTTTGAGAAGTACTTAAGGATTTCTAGAAAAGAGTAATATAGAATATATAGTAATTATATTTATTATAGTTATATAACCTATTATAGTATATAAAATATTAATAATAATAGAGAAAAGGGTAATAGTAAAGAATAATCTAAACTTCCTTAAATTATATAAAATAGCCGGGTTTTAAAGCCTAGATATTACCCTAGCTAGAATATTTCTTTTATTATAAATAAATAAATAGAACTATTCTCTTTATATTATATAATTACTTAGCTTTTATATAATACCTAATAGACTATATTAAGTTTTTAATATTTGTCCTTTTTTAATTTTTCTCTAGCTAGTTTTAAGGAAAGTATTTAGAATTTCACTCTTTTTCTAATACTTTAAATACTCTTGTATTTTAATAGTCTTTGCCTCTATTTTTGCCCTATTCTAACTTATTATATATTAATTCCCCAAAAATACTCTCTCTGGCTTATTACTTATTAATAGAATAGAGAGGATATTAATAGTTATAAAAGAAAGCTTTAGCTAATATTACTTTTATATATTCTAATACTATTAAGCGAGGGCCCCCTATTTACTAGAATTATATAATATTAGTAAATTATAGTTCTTAAACTTATTTTGATTTATAAGCCGAGCTATTATTCAAAAAGATATAGAAATTTAATTAAAAGTATCTAGTTCTAATATCTCGTAAAACGAGCTATTATACGAAAAAGCTAGAGAAATAGATATAATTATAGCCCCTTTTCTATATTTCTCCTAGAGCTTTTTAATCTTAACTAGAACTAGTTTGGATTATTTCTTTAGCTAGTATATTTTAATATATCTTATATAATTGCGAGAATTTAAAATTAATATAGTAATATAAACTAAAGATATATTAGTTTTTATATAATAATTATTTAGAACTTTATATACTGCCTTAATTCAGTAAAGAAAGTCTTTTTTTCTAAATTTCTATTCTTTTAATATTTGGTTTATTAGAATTAGTATAATTATATAATAGAAAAGAAAAACTTATATTCTTTTTTTTAAATGTATTTAATTAAAATATTTATTATAAAAAAGATAGAATTAAGAAAAGTCGAGCTCTTAGTAATAAGAGTAGTTTATATAAAAGAAGTAAGGAATTCCTTAATTATATAAAGCTTTTTCTAATTTTTAGAAGTCAAGATATTTTCCTTAAACTTCTTTTTATAATCTTAATAATATTTTTCTATTATAGGCCATAAATTAAGTAATATAAAAAGTATTTTATACTAGCCATTCTATTTTATATAATTATTTATTAGAATTAGTCTTTCTATAAATATATGGAACTTCTTTATTTTTCTAGCTAATTTATAAATATAAACTATAATATTATATATTTAACTAAAGGAATTTATTAGCCTGAATTAGGCTTTTATTGCCTCTATTATATTAAAGGCTTTAGCTT